GTATGTATGTACTTATAAATATGTATATAAATATGTAATATATGTATATATATATATATATAATATATTATATATAAGTAATATATATATATATATATTATATATAATATAATATATATATATTCTGTATATATATATATATATAATAATATACGTTATATTTATTATATATTGTATATATATACATATATGTATACATATATATATATATATATATATATATATATATGTATATATATATATACATATATATATATATATATATATATATGTGTGTGTATGTGTGTTTATGCATGTATGTACACGGTTATATATATTCATGTATTTAAACATATTGATTTGGACATAGCTATGGATTTATGTATGTGCTTATATATAGGTGTGTGTTTCTTTCTGATGATGTAGTTGAAATGTTGCTGCTATTCTTAGTGGCCATATACTCTTCAGATATACTTGCAGAGTTGCAAGCAGAAATGTATTGTATTCACTGAAGTATTTTGCTCACTTTCATCTCCATCCTGTTATGTGCCCCTCAGGAGTACGTTCCTAGCTTCGCGCTTGGGGGCTAGAGTCCTATCTCGATGCTCCGCACGACAATTGTCAAGTACTGTTCGGAGCCCATTGCGAGCAGTTGTCAACAAGGTTTGTACTATCATACTCAAATTTGATGCAAACTTGCATTTTCATGAAATTGCTCAAACCCTAAACTTCCCTTCATTTAGTTGTAATGTATTTCGCCTTCGTTACCCTGGGATTCGTATCTAATATCAACATCTACCCGCGTATGCTCTTTTGGCTGTGCCTGTGCGTGTGTAGTTTTGTATACACCTATATAATCATATATGAAGATATGCGTTCTACTCTTCTGGGTGTACACATGAAAGGTTAAGTAAAACAACTGCGTATGTGATACAGGCAAGCGCCCTTCCTGCGCGAGTCAGTCAGCGATTCGCCAGTACCGAAGGACCAGCCAAACAATCGGGTGGATGGATAGGTAAATTGATTCTACCTATGGCCGGTCTGGGTGTTTTTGCCGTTTTAGGACAACCCGCCAGCGATCCCAATGATGACAACTACGACGACGGTGAGTGCGTGCATTTGTCTATGTGTGTTGCGGCGGTTAGGAGTGGTGTAGTGATCGTGAAGTTTATTTGGAGCAAATGTGTGCTTGTTTATGCAGAGAATTACGACTTTGACCATCGATACTCGAAGTGGCATGTAGTGTGTGCAATTGGGAGTAGACACGTTGGGCTTGTAGTCAAATCCTTCTGTTTTTCGATGTAGTTTGCCTATGGAGTATGAGACAAACCTCTGCCATCGCAACAATTACATTTATTGCAGCGGAATGGAAGCTCAGATTCCTGTGCTTGTACTGTACCACATCGTGTGAGTAGAATCGCGGGGCTAGTGAGTGGTTCATCCCTGTGGTGTGATCATACCTGCTCTTGAAGTGAAGTGCTCAGACAAGACGGGTATTACTATCCCCGGAGCCACACAGCTATATGTGAACACGCGCCACTATCATGAACGTAGGATGTATTCAAATGAGACCGTATGAATGTATGCTTCGTTTTAGGGTTTACACGTGTGTATGGAAATGTGTTTATCTTGGCAAGTGACACGCCCGCGACCTAACACCTGACTAAGATGACTTTGATCGGATCATAACTTTTGCATTTCACATCACTACAGAGGTCCTCCCGCTTCAGTTCGCATATAGAGCCAGAGACAGAGTCACGAACTTTTACAAGGTATATTTACTGTATGGTTGCTACGATACTAACTTTGCCTACGGTTATGAGGCAGGATGTAGCATTTGTTGTATTCTCTACACGTGGTAAAGGTGGGGTTAGCTTAAACACCGTATGTATATGCAGATTTTTACTAGATATCTGTGCTCCAATTTAGAGCTCGACCACCTGTATTATCATATTATTCATAAGTTGTGATAGACGTATATTTATCATTTTCGTTCAGTTGAAGTGACGGTTCGCATACAAGCAGAATATCAGAGTGTTTAAATTAGGACTGGACAAATACAAACTAAACCACAGATAATTGGGCCTCTCATGCATATCTATTTTATTCGTACTTATCTAGAGGTCGGCAGTTTTCACCTATACGTGTGCATTTATTTACATGCTTATATACATGAAATTCACTTTACTTTGTCATGCGTCGCATATATACAGACACGGATCACTATTCGCACATTGTTATGTGCACCTGGTCATGTATCATCGTAGGAGAAACACATCATATCGATGTACATACGGACGCACGTATATTTGTTTCCACATATTTCCATACTAATCTTTCAAACATGCACAAAGTTCTACTCTGTGTACAATTATTTGGTCACTTGTGAATAGTCTACGGCCGTGAATCACGTATCATAAGTACATGCGTAGAACATGTACATATACAATTTATGAAGCAAATCACGAACCTGCTAGAATGACCCACAGGCTTGACTGTGATAAATTCAGCATGTATGTGCTTAGTCATAAAGCTACTCTGGGTAGTATGTACGACCTCTCATGGCTCCTTATTAATTCCAATCACGGGAACCCCTTTCATCCTACCTCTATACCATACAGTTCTTCAACGAACCCCTGCGCGCAGTACTGATCCCACAGGACCCCAACTTCCCACCCATGCCATACGTGCTTGTTATCGAGCCCGACAAAGTGCTGTACAAGTACGAGTGGACGCCAGAGATGGGATGGCGTCTCAAAGTGCGAAAGGGTGCGCGCGAATTTCTTCGATTCCTTGGTATGTCATATTCATCTTATCTTATGTATGCGGTTTCATCCATTATGGCGAATTTCTTCGATTCGTAGATGTACTGAATATTACCTCTGTGTGTGTGTGTGTGTGTGTCGTCATGTCGAGTCATCAGTACACTTAATACAAATAGATACATTCACACAAAGTGTGGACACAAATTTTGCCTCTATGCACATACATAATGAGCTGAAACAGCCAGGCGCTGCATGAGCATATCGGCTGCAACAAGTCCAAATAATGGTTCAATCATTTATACTTGATCGCACGTAGTATCATTATCTCATCGTACGCCACTCAGATCAAGTTCGAATGTATCCATAGTTCTGCACAATTACTTGTTGTGGCACAATTCTATGCCAAATTATACAGGACCAAACATCGACAAACATAAATGCTGACTTTGGCAGATGTCAACTCCGGGTCGTGCAGGATTACTGAATCTAGCCCCTTCATTCCCATTCATTCCCAATTCAAGTTAACTTACCAAATGCCTATATTCCAAATCTCTAAACTAGGTGCCAACTTCTATGAAGTCGTGCTATTCACTGATATGCCCTCTATGACGTCGGCCCCTATTTTCGAGAAGATCGATGAGTATGGCTGTGCCATCAATCGCTTCAGCAGGGAAGCCACCATAGTCAAAGACGGAGTGAGTCGACTGCACACTACTGCTGAGTTTGCGTATTATATGTCTTTCACTTCGGTGCACATGTTATTGTTTTCCCATTGTAAGTTTTAATATATCTACTTTTTGCCCATTTCTAGTGCGTGTTTGTTGTATGTGATAAGATATCGGTTATCGTGCATATGTCTGATGTGCGCAGTAATGTTCTTTACCCTTTACGTACTCAGAGATTACACATGGTTGTCAACGATATGCTTTTGAGCAAATGCTACCAGCTATATCATGTCAGTGTAGAGTTGATGCGTTGCCTACTTAACGTCACGCCTTATTACTCCATGACAGCGCCTATATTAAACAAATTTAGAGATTTAGGGATTAAATGGTATTTCCCATGTGCACGACATAATCCTTTTGATTGAATTATCAACTCTGTATTATCGCGCACGGTCATGGTAGGTTAGAGTGAAGGACATCAGCGGATTCGATCGACCCGAGAAGCGCATAGTAATCCTCGACACTGACCCAAGACGATACTCCAATAACCCTGACAACGGTCTGTTCGTAGAGGAATGGGATGGAGATTCAAACGACACAGGTTTAATCGACTTGGTTAAGTTTTTCCAGGCACTTGCGACATCTGGCATTGATGATGTAAGGGTGGTGACTAAGTATTACGATGGTAAAGATGTGGTAGAAACCTTCAGGGCCAACCAGAAGGCTGCAGAGGAGCACGAGCGATTAGAGAGGGAACGTGCTCTCGCTGAGGCACAGCAAAACAAGAGCTCTGGGTGGGGTTTCTTTTCTAAGGTGGGTTTTGGTTTTACTTGGTTGTGGCTGGCATTCTTCTCGAACGTGGGCATTATTTAGGATAGCTAAAACCCTTACAGAAACTGGACTTTTAGAAAAAAAATCTTTAGTTTACGAATTACAAATATCTTTTCAGAGGTTGTGAAAGTAGGCATTCGCTCCGGTTATATAAATTTGGAAAATCTGCGCAAGCAAATAGTTGGATGGTACATGAATGGTTTTACAGCCATAGACTTTCTGATACCACGCACTCAGGCCTCGACCTATCATCTAAAATCAACAAGCGAGTGTTGTATTTTGGTGTATTGTGCCAATATTCGTCTTGCGCTTTATACCGAATTTTCTATCCTGACGTCATGTTGCCTCTGTCGTTTGCAGCCTGCGGCACCCGCTGCTGGGCCTGACCAGGCAGACGATGAGTTGAAGCAACAGGTTCTGGCGGAGGAAAAGTTACTGCGTGAACAGGTATGTTGACTTGTTCCATCGTACATTGTGATATAAATATATCATGACCTGCAGTCCGCACAAGCACTTTCTCAAATATCGGCGGTGATGCAGATTTTCTTCACCATTGATATATATTTCTATCATCTGTATATTTAATCAGATCATCGTTTGTTCCAACTCTTACAGCGTGAGGCTGAGGCGGCCGCTGCCAAGCTCAAAGCGGAGGAGGAGGCGAAAAACAAACCCTGGTACAGCACAATCTTTGGTTGAGCCGAAAAGTTGTACATAACCATGTAATATAGTACAGTAGCACCGGATTCCTCAAATCATATCGCTTAACTACATATATATATATTGTACATATGTATATATCTGGATTTTGCCTCGTTGACAAACATTAGCCAATACGCAACAGAACGTAGTAGCAAAATAAACACAGCAGTGTGAACTACTTCAACAAAGCTAGAAACAGCCTTCAACGAAAGTGTATTTGTTCGTGTCACGAATCAATCTTATATACCAGAGTGTATTTGTTTGTGTCAGAGTATGTAACGTTAGATTGTAGATATCATTTGATTTCATTAACAGGGAGAACCCCGCCCACACTGGTAATGAAGCAATTGCCATCATTTGGGTGAATACGAATCTTTATGTATCCGGTAAAATCGATAAGCTTTATGTTTATCTTCGATGTATTTTACAAAGAACAACCATATATATATATAGAAGCGTTTTCACGTTTCCTGAGAAACGCAAAAACATATGATGTCAGGCTGGAAAAAATGCAATGTTTTGCCTTGCTTGACTGTGTGATGGCATATTATCCGATTGAAAATATTGCCAGAACTGACACGCTATAGGGATGTCAGACTGGTGAAGATTGCTCAAGCTGGTCTGTTCTCGTTGAAGAATCGCTGGACGTTGTACGCGACATCTGCAATGTACAGTGTAAAAGGACGCAATAGCTGAAACAATTTAATATTTCCACGCGACTTGGGCGGCGCCTGAAGTACACATATTCAATGTAATTCGTTGATGAACCAGAATCTGCCTAAATTCCTCTCCGTGTGACTTAAGTTGCCAGTATGAATTTACTCACACACTTTTATAAGCGAAAATGTAAGCTATGAGAAATGCTGGTGGATGCACAACGAGTGTAAGCTCCAGTCACTGGATCGGGTAGATAGCTAGTCCTGCTGTAGGTTGCACATTTCCAATCAGGGAATTTGTATAGCTAGTAGGTTTGAAAACTCGCATGTAGCAGGAGTGTATTCATATATGTGTACCGATGACTTCTCTTTTGATCCCACGAGAAACCTACCATTTCCCAGGCATGTCACTGCACAGAGACTCTGCCAATCACACTGTGTCAAGTCAGACAGAGAAATGGCCTCTTGCACCGCCAGGCAGTGTACTGTGACAGGAAATATTAGTATTAGATACGACTACTTTCTGGCCAAGCACCATCCCATACGTTAGTGCTCATAAGTTCATGCTGGAAATCATAATAAGCTCATGCTGGAAATCATACATAGCTTTGAATATGTGGGCGAGTAGGATAGGAAAATATACATTGAGCGACCAACGCCACAGCGTGACCTAATGACACCCACTACCACGCAGCTGCAAATCCGCCCCAGGTCGCTCGCAAAAGGTATAACTAGGTGGCTATCCATCCACCCCTTTGCGTCAGAACGGCCAGTACAAATGTTGTGTTGTATGGTCGCTATTCAATTAATTGGTTTGCTATGCAGGCAAGCATGTTTTGAATGTCTTCGTATGTTCCTGGCCTACATTCAGGCAATTTAATGTATCAATACTAGCAACTACCCGTATGTATTTCGGATTGGTCGAAACAAGGCACCGGATATGCGGAGAGATTTTTTGTAAAACCATACTACATACGTCGTTCGATGTCATCTATGCTATTTGAAACAGACGACCCATTCTTAAGCTGATGGGAGCGTGATCGATTGTATGCTACAAGTGTTGACAGCGCAAAGATTGAGTATATAGACTTATCTTCTTCCGAGATATTATCGATTTGGTATATTGCGTTGAGAATCGCTGGAATACCGCTGGTATATCTCAGATTCTGGTAGACAGAATAGTGGATAGTTATATCAGGCACACAATATGTCATTGATGAGTAAAGGGAAAATAATTCAGGTATATAATTACATACGACACATTGTATGAGTGAGAATATGGACGCGGCTTGCCCTGTGAGAAGTATTAAAATAAAGATTATGTATTGTCTGCTGCTGTTGGTGTCCAGCACTACGTGTATAAAACCAACACTTTCACGACTATAATACAACTACGCAAATATTAAATAACACCGAGGCATATAGAATTCGGGACGGGTTTCAATATGTTGTGAGCACTGAATGCACAGTGAGTTTCATGGATCCTTAGAGCTGATTGATTCCAAACACCATGATATACCATGATAGACAATTAATCCACGTGTGCGGGTCGGTTGGTGTCACGGTGGTGCACGACACATTTTCTTATGAATCAAGCAAACCAGACCAAGTCTCACCTGTACACTAGCGGAGTGTATCGCATCCACTCTCGCTTGATTTGCCTTGACGTACCCGGTGGTGAGGTCGCTGATGGCCGACGCGGCCTCTTCAGGGCCTGGCGACACAAACAAGATGAAAGTACGCTCTACCGCTCTGGTCACATATCCGATTATATACCACATGTATAGAATATAATTTAAATTTCTATTCATATTCGAGTAGAGGTTACAGAAGGGATGTACTAAGTTTCATTGCGATTGTAACACGATAAAAGTTATGTACCGTGAGAATAATCATCCATGTCCAATCAATGTGGAATACCAGTGCGTTGCGAGCCTGCACCTATTTACGTAAGTAGAGTAGGTGCTAAACTAATTGCATAAACGTTTTGCGATAACTGGGTGTTTCGAGTATAGATGTGCAATATTATCTACCTGAGCTGTAAACGGCGGAGCTCGTGGCCTGTTGATATTCCATCAAACGGCGGGAAGTCGATGACACAGACGAAGCTCCGACCGAACCGAGACTCGAGCAAATTAATGCTTATGCGCGAACGTATACAGAGTGGCGAAAAAAATGAAAGTTACCGATGACGCTCCGATAAAATATAAATACCAGTAGGTTTTTGGCCACGTGCGTATAAGGGATGCATCCAAGCAACCTCATACAATATATACGTGTTTGATGGATGTGCACACACGATTAATATAAATATGCATATCTGAAGTACCAATACACATTTTTGGTGCCTCTTTGTGAGCACACTAGTGACTAAAAGGGTGCAATGAATCTTTGTCATGCCTGCTCTCAGCACGCTCGGCTTCGACAATTACTCTTACTTTACCAGAAGCACTTTACCAGAAGCATGTATACATCTGTATACATCTACACGTACACTTTATACATCGAATAAACAGCCATTTCAAAGCTAACCCCTGTAAGAAATGCTCCGGCGGGTGGATGTGCACGTGAGCAATCGCAATCAAAAGCTCTCACCGTGTGACTTTGTCTTCCCAACTCGTCCTGCGCTCTTCGTGTGACCAGATCACGAGCACTGCCATGCTGTATGCAGGAAAGATAAGCATACCCTGCGGCGTATTTGCGGACGCTGTATTGCATAAATTGCCGGAGAAGGCAAAGCAGTATGTGCCTTAGTTGGACAGTGTCAGGTACAATACACCAAACAAATACGATGCGGGCTTAGAAGTCTGCTTTGTTAATTTGTAGAACCCATGGAAAAAAATTCATTGACATACACCTGAGCTTGTAGCCTTCATTCCGCAAACTTGCCCCTAAAACGGATGTCCCTGGACAAATGTATAGTAGACAGTGCTAAGTACCTGTCGAATACGATTATATGACTTTGGAGGATGGTCCGGTGAAGTATGGGATATAATGTGAATTGCATGTCCAAAGACTGAAAAAAATTCAAACTGAGGTATGCGATCAAGTCTTGGCTGTAAAAATGAAGCCAAATACGGGCGTTTTGAATACCCGCATCAATTGATGACCACACTTGAAAGTGCCATTTCAGCGTGATGTGCATGCTATGACAGCATACGAGGTACAACTCTTTCCCAGATAGTAGGTCACATCATGTTTTAGTTACTAATCGTGTAACTTAATTTAACTCATGATCACACAACGAACTATGTTACACTCATAATAACAAAAGACATGAAACTACAGCGGATGCTCGGTTATACGTATCCTGAGGATGCTGACAGCTAAAGACCTCAAAACTCGCACGGATAAACACTTTATGTACCCGTCGGGATATCGGTAACCACCACCGACATTTTAGCTGTTATACAAAGCGCCTGATGGCAGGAAAGGTGATGATTCTGAAGACTATACACGTATACTACCAGCACATTCCCGAGGAAAGGTCAAAGTGTACAAGTACGGTTCACTTGAACTATAACAAAATTGTTTAGGAACCGTCGCTGTGACATTGCGTGTGCGAAGCAAGTGGCATACTCTTCTGACGCACATTGATAAATACGTATTCCTCTTTCTAGTAGCAATGTATATTGCTTGAAACGCGTACTGCCCTATATTAGTAGTAAAATTGAAGCACTTA